TGTTGGTCACCTCAAAGTCTCTGATATCTTCCATCTGACTCGAACAAGGATTGTCTCCGGAGACATTCAAGAAACCTTCAACATCCTGCTCAGAGGAAGCCTGTCGGTTAGAAGGCACATGTGCATCTTAACTGAGCAACCGCTCCCACCTCTGAAATCACGCTCCTCAGTGTTGTCTGGTCCAGGGTTTCCCAGGACTGTGTTTTTGAGTCCTCCAAGAAAGGCACCCACCTTGGGAGGTTCAAATCCCATTGGTTAAGTCTGTGATAACGCTGGCCTTCACCAACTTGTGGAGAAACTCCTTTTCTTTTGAGATGTTGTGAGTCCATGACTGTGGGGGAGACATAAACAGAAGACTGTCATTTCTTACTGAATGTGGCCAACCTGTGTGCATTTACAGCACAGATTCTCTCAACATGAGAGTTTGCCATTTCATTAGACCAAGAATGTTAGTCATGGAAGCAGAGACTTTGCCCATCACCCTTAAATTAGGTGAATACAGCATCTTAAATTGGACAAGCACCATCCATTAAGTTATGCAGTGGCAAATGACGGATATATAAAACCACCAATCACAACTCGCTTGATTACATGAGACATTTTAGGTAATAGATGTGATAGTGTGCAAGTGATAGTTCAGCATCTTTGCATATTTGCAACTGTGTGCAACTGATGGGATGTATAACCAACAAGACTGACAGACTTATGCAACATGTTCATAGTTTTTTCTTGTTGTTTGCCAACTGATCTTTGTTGGCAAATATTGTTGGCAAACAAATATTGTTAACTCTAAGTCAAGTCACCTTCGTTTATATAGCACCTTATACAATACAGATTGTGTCCAAGCAGCTTTACAGGGATAAACAGTGTTAAACAGGATCTCTTTAGGTAGAAAACCACACGACAATGACCTGAAACCATTTACCCTGCTGAGGGTGACGGAGTTTAAATATATCTTGAGAAATCCATGTTGTAGATTAACGATTTGATACTGCTAAGGGTGTCTTGTGTCACCATTACTGCTGCCCTGGAAACATTTTATCTATGGATAATTGCTGTAAAGTTGCATTTAAATCTATCCAACCTCACAAATCCTCCACAGATTTATATTACAAAAGACATTTGAAAATGGCAAATGGAAAGAGTTGCTAAGTGTTGGTCAGTACCATTATTTTATTGTATTGTATTGTATTGGGATTTGTGGTTTAGTGAAGGTCAGTATCTACCATGATAAAAAAAAAAGCTACATTAATTCTTAAATCCACAGCACCTCACATCTACTACGGTCTTTTATTACAACAATAACAGATCTCTGAGTCACAGGAGAGGGAATGAGTGTGATCTGGAATCAGAGAACTAGAGCTGTACAGACTCCTGTGAAAACCACCCTCTCCAGAATTCTTTTAATATCCTATTGTTCTTCAATGTGATTTTCAGAAACAGAACGCCACAGCAAAGGACCTACAGGCCTGGTATTGATGGATGAAACCAGAGCTTTGGGTTCCTGTGAGAGACTCTTGGTCCGAATGAATGGACCCCACAACTGCCCCTGACAGGATGTTCTGGGCCTGCTGGGGCTCTGATACTAAGCCAAAAGCATCTCGTCAGAGTCTCTGGGCTGTCTGCTTCAGCCTGGTCAGCCCTTGTGAAGGATGACATTCACAAAAAAAAACATCAGATCCAAGAGTAAAGTTTCACTCTCCATAAGAGAGAAAAGGGTACAGGACAAAATGTATGCTAGGTTAAGAGCCTCCCTAGGCCAAATAGCCTTAGGGAGAGAGGATCTGAAACAATCTCTTCCTTATGCCTCTATATTTAGAGAAATGGCTCTCTGCGTTTTGGATTGGTACGATTTTTTAAATAATTTTGAAGTAAGTCTTTTTATTTGATCAAAAATACAGTAAAAGTGGTGATGTAAATTCTTATTACAATCTAAAAAAAATGTGTTCTATTTTAATATATTTTAAAATGTAATTCATTTTTTTAGGATTCTTTTATGAATAGAAAGTACAAAAGAACATTTACTTGAAAAAGAAATATTTTGTAACATTGCAAATATCTTTACTTTCACTTTTGATCAATTTAATGCATCCTTGCCACATAAAAGTATTTATTTTCATTATATAAAAAAAGAATTACTGACTCCAAACCTTTGAATGATAATGTATATCATTCTCAATGATATAATAAAATGATGTTAAACTACTCAGAGATATTAGAAGGGTCTCTAATTTCTAGAGAGTCTTTTCTCACAGGATTTGGAAGTACTTTCAAGTAAATGTTACCTTTTCCTCGACAAGCTGGTGAAACAACCTATTACTCTAATCCTGACATTACCACTGAAAGCCATGAAGTCAAACTAGTGTTGGAATGAATCCCTCAAATCACAGCTAGGATGAGGACTCCTGTCAAAACCTACAAAGACAAATATCCTATACTGTTATAGTATGTATGACGTACTCACTATACAAGGCCAACAGCTTAAATCCCATTTGCTCAAGACTAACTCACACAGCACAAAGTCTTAAACCGTCAGAAAACAGGCAGCAGGAAGCAAGTGAGTGCTGCATGAATTGTACCTGACTGTGATTTGACAAGGATGGGAGCCAGAGCAGTCAGGAGCTAACCATGCGTTAATGGCTCCGTTTTATGAGTGTGCTTTTACAGCCATGGCAAATGTGGGCAGAGAGGAATTTATAAAACACAACAACAAAGTTATCTTCATATGGACCGATCTGGGGTAAAAAAAAAAAAAAAAGTAGCAAGTAGCCTAGGACATTCTACTAATGACATAATCATTGTAATTTTCCATAAAGTGAACGGATAAAACAAAGGTCTGAGGTACTGCACAAAATGTTTTGTCTATGCATTAAAACACCTACTCCTAAAAAATAAAACATACATGCTTCACTTTAGCAGTTAATTTGACATTTTGTCAATTCAAGAAACATAGAACTGTTACCTCTTTTATAGCAGACATTTTAACTGTTTCGTAGTAGTGCAAGGGTGCATGAGGGGTGTTCATGTCATAGCCAAATCCAGCAACAGCAACCTCATCGCAGTTATGAAGGGCCATTGTTATGGCGACGGTGCCCAACGTTGGAATGTTCTATGGAAATAAGCACAAGTCGATCATCTATCAAACTGTCAGATTATAAAATAAAGCAGCATTTTAATATTTTACTATCAGGTTCTTAACATGCAAGCTGTTCTCTGGTGAAAGGAGTAAAATCATCCACTGAGCTGCTCTGCTCCACGGAGTCTTAACCTAAACCACAATACAAAGTCTCCTGCTTGTTTTGTGAATCATAACATTCAAATATTGATGCAAATCATATGTTAGACTTGATAACAGACAAGAAAATACAGTTATTGCTTGTTTAATAGTGCATGAAGTGCTAACATGCCATAAGCACTATATTCAACATTTCTGGCATCGCTATCAAATCTGAAGTGTTGCAGCAAAATAACTTATATTTTAATATAATTATAAATTGTGAGTTTGCATTCTGAATTGAATGGACTTTGTACACAATAATAGAATCTCATCACAAACACATGCTGTATTTGCTTTAAGCTTTAGCATGCAAAGACATTCATTTTGACCATTAATGTACAAATGGCTTTTGTGAGACAGTCCTTTTAGTAAATCAGTCAAAAAGAATTATGATCTCACAACTCCATCAAAGTGGTTTCTGAATTAACAATGCACTAACTGACAGGATATGCGTGTAGAGAAATGTATATGTGTGTCGATTATATACACGCACTCACAAAAGGACTTTGGTGTAATAATGTAAAAAAAATGTTGACTACTTTAATAAAAAAACATGATACAAATGTAAAAAAGATTAAACATAATAAATAAAAGAGAAATACATACACACACACACACACACACATACACAACCATAAATGAAGCTTGAATAACTATGCTTGCAGTGCTATATTTGAATCTATTCAACATCACTGTCTGCATTTTGCTCTGGTCCAGCTCTTCCTCGAGGTTGAGATGGCATTGTGCCTGAAGGAGTTCTGGCTTGGTTCTGCTCAGCAGTTGTTAACTCATCTTGAGCTGCGCGTGATTAACAATTTGCTTAAACAGACCCCCACCCCTGACATACCAATTTCAGGAGGTAGACCTTCACTTCCTCATCTCCCTGGAGGAGTCAACCATTCTAAATCATTAGCTTGCAGTGGCCTGGGGTCTGATTCTCACACACACACACACACACACACACACACACACACAATTAGCATTAAGATAGTGTCAGTGTACGCAGCCTTAGGCAGGTGGGTGTCTGGCGTGCTCAAAGGAGGAGGCTGTCAAAATGTATTCCACCTTGATCAGTACCGTATGGGACAGCTTCCCTCCTGTGCTGCCCCCCTACCTACACAAACCTTAGGGGCCTGGGCGCTGCTCCACGTGCACTGCACATGTTCCACCATTTAGAGGAGGTCTGAGTTTTCAGGAGGTGGCCAAGATCGCACACAGACTCTTGTCTGTACTCATGCCATGATGGGATGGCTGAGAGTTTCAACAAGCTATGATGCTAGTAGCATTTATCTACTTTCTCAAGTCCAATTTCCTGGGTCTGAAAGGAAAGCATGTTTTTATGAGCTCCTAGTAGGCGAGTACTCTTTGTTATAGCCTGTGTTTGAGGTCTGAGGCATCCACACACAGTCCTTTTATGACAATTTCAATTCCCTGTAGGCTATGGCACACCCAACACCCATGTGTAAATAAACTGTGTTTGCAAATGGGGTGGGGGTTCTGAATGCAGCCACATTTATGACACGTTAATAGTAGAATTTAGCATGTCAAATTATATACAAGGCTTTAAATTAAATTCTGGCAGATTTGTTAAAGGGGACATCAGATGCCCATTTTCTACAAGTTAGTATGATTCTTTAGGGTCTTCATTAAATGTCTGGAACATACTCAGGTTAAAATTCCTCAATAGTTGTACCGTTTCGGTGCATGTCTCTTTAAATGATAATGAGCTCCTGCTCACCCCACGATATATCCAGCTGCAGACCCGCAGCACTAGAAGTTTCAGAACCGCAGCCACAGAACTGGAAGTGAGGGGCGGAGTTATTGACAACGAGAGAGCACGGTGAGTATTCTGTAATGTTTTTGCTATGCATATGTTTGATAATTATCGCATATATTACGTTAAGCATTTATCTGCTAAGTACTTAATGTGTGCTTGGCTTTATTATCTTATATTGAAACTTGAATTTGTTGTCATACTTTATAGTATATAACTTTTTTCTGTGGCTGTTTCGATTAATTTTCAGATGCATGCTGTAAATGGGCCTTGTGGTGAAGTTTTGAAGATGTTTATTATTCATAAAAATAGTCTGCTTTAATTCCCTCCGTTATATGCATTGTTTGTGTTAATATTACCTTGTAGTTTAGTTATTTTAATCCAATTTGTCATCGAGATAATTGTGTGTAGCTTCATCTCTTGTAGAGATAAGGATTCAGAGAGTTGACACATTACCTGAGTAACACGTGTTACAGCAATCACCAGCAGTGTTCTGCTTGACCAGCATGTTTAAGCCAGCCAAACTGGTCATCTTCAAATCCACTTCAACATGCAGTTGTCTGTGGAGGTACGCATATCTTGAGTAGTTTGTTTAATGTACTCACAATTTATTATTGCATAATAGTTTACATGTGTACTTATTTATTTTAGGCTATACTATAAATTTTTTCAACCAGTTATTGGTGTGATTATTTAGTTATTAAATAAGGAAAAAGGAAGTTTTTTTTGTGCCATTTACAGGGAGAATATTCTTATTTTTTGTTGTTTTCCAGTACATCTTGTCTTGGGAGCACCCTTTGATTTTACATCTGTAAGTAGTTATCAGTTAAAGTAATTGACTTTTATGATGTTGTAGCAGTTGATATTTAAAGATTTCTCTATGTTTGTGTCTTCCAGTGTGACATTCCAATCATACGGCGATGGTGGACTCCAGATGGTTTTCTCTGAAAGGTACTGGACATCTCCTCCAGCACACCATTACATTTGCACCCCCTTCTGATTCTGTGGCTGCGGTTCTGTGGCTGCGGTTCTGAAACTGCTGGTGCTGCGGGTCTGCAGCTGGATAGAATTTGAATTTTGTAAACTGAAAATTCAACAATTTAAAACGGTAGGAGAAAAATTTCCCACGATATTAGAAAATTAAATGCTCTTCTACCCTGGCAGAGAAAAAAATCGTACATTTATTAAATATAATAAATTTAAAAACTAAATACACATTTTTATCCACCTTATTCTTTAATGCGGAAGTAAGCCGTTTTCAGTGAATTTGCGAGATTTCCAGTTCATTAGCCGCTGTAGGGAAATAACGAGAAGAACAACAACGTGCAGCAAACTGTCAAACTGTTTGCACTATAAACCAGTGTGTTCATAATTAAGATAATACATTAAAATAATATGGTAAGACACACCAATTTGCAATATCAAGCAGCAAAACGAGCTGTTTTGTACAGCTAAAAATAGCTGAACGCGGATGACACTGGAAGCCAGACCCATAACATTTACAAATGGCCCACTCTTATGGGAAAAATAAAGTGGATACGTGGCATTTCAAAAATTACCTGTTAGTATTAAAGGATTATAAACCACTGAAAATTTCTTCATTTTAATTCTTCTTAAATTCAAATAGCAATTCTGCATCCACTTGCTACCCCAATTCAAATTAAACTCAAATTCAGTAATTTAATTGGATTTAAAAGTTCTTAATTTAATTCTAAATGGCACACAATCCTGATCACTATAGTTTGAGCAATATTTACTCTAAATGTGAGGTATATCTAACCGATAAAATTATAAATTAAAATAAATACAATAAAATAAAATAAAATATTTCACAGGCCATTCAACCAAGGTGTTTCCCTGCCTATAGCCGAAGACACTAGAATGTCCCCGCAACACAGAACAAGTGGTTTGCAAAATGGAAAATACAACTTATGTTTAAAAGCCTTTGTTATTTATACTGGCAGTTTTATTTAATTTAACTCAAATCACACATGCCACATTATTTTGAGAACTTATTACTTTTTAAAGCATTTTAATGTTAGGTACTGCATAAGGTTTTAAAACACCGCTTTGTCTAGGTTTGGACAAAATACACGGCATAAGCTCTCCCCACCCATTGGATTAGTCAAGCTACCTTTGACCTATGGTGATCTTTATGGTAATTACAGACTAATTGAGGAAACACGTGTCTAAGGCTTCCTGTGACCCCTATTAACATTAGATTGACTAAAGGGATTGCCTGCCATTTTGGTTCAACAAACCGGACAGTCCAACAGTTATTCTCAAAGAGTTACCAGTTCTAGCAGAGTCGCATTCTTTTGCACTCAATGTGCTCAATGTAAACAATGTTATGAAAAGTACCGAAACTGAAGCATGTTGCTTACCCCTTTACCCATGAGGCCATTGTTCTGTGGAAGGCCAATAAACTGGAAGGCAGCCTCTTGTATAAAGTAGGGGTTGAGGATCCGAATCTCCGAGGGTTGCCGGGGCACTGAGTGCGCTACAGACTTCCAGAAGCCCTCTGTTCCTTGCTAAATTATAATAATAATAATAATAAAAAAAAACAACAACAACAGAGAGAGGCATTATGATATAGGCAAATGAGTCTGCACATCCAAGTTTGCATAATGAAAAATGCATGGAACATTTTTATATCATCTTACAGCAGATGTGAAGAAATCATCTCTTCCATAATCATGAGTTCAGACCCAATACCTATAATGTGCCATCACTGCATACTGATGGCGGTAGTGTAGACGGCTTTCATTAAAAGTGAAGCAGGCCGTCCAGGTTGGACAAGCCCAAAGGAAGTGGACAAATGAAATCCTGACCTCCATGAATGTTAGGGGAGCAGCGGCCCCCAGCTTCTCCCATAACAATTACTCAGGAGACCTGCAGAGTGCCATAGCTCAGCAATTATTCAATCTGCGATCTGGCACTGAGATCATCAGGTATTAGCTTCTTGACTAGACGAGCTCTGCGAAGCCACGGCAGCACTGCTGGCAAACAGCCAGTCGGGTCATCGGACTTAATGGGAGTCACCTGTTCAAATAAGCAGACTCTGCCTTTGATATAACCCAACAATAGGAGCAGCTATTGAGCTAGGCGAATGGCTTTGAAGCAGTTTTGGAGGGCCCCGCACCCACAACAAGCCATGGCAAGAAAACATCATCTCTTCTGTCAACAGTAGGGTTTTGCTGAACAGAAGCAGAAATTCTGTGGAATGCTGCAACCACAAGCAGGTGTAAACAGGGGGAAAACCTGACAACAACAATAAAAAATAAAAAAAATTCACAGATTCGGGCACACCTCTACCCAACCACCGAGACACCATATCCAGCATAGTGTGTAGTATATACTGGATACATCTCGCAAAACTGAAGTATGCCTTTTTCCAGAACGTAACAGGATTTAAAGAGTGCGGGTAAACGCATGGGAAATGTGCTGGCATCCAGCACCAGAAGTGTTTGGTATAAGAGTGATAGGTTGTTTAAAGGGTTAGCTCACCCAAAAATGAAAATTAGCTGATGAATTACTCACCCTCAAGGCATTTACTCACCCTCATGCGCAACGCCGAGCTCATATGTCATCAGCCCGGAACTGCTTCCGTGTACAACTGTTGGCGCAAGCTAGATTTAAAGTGATTTTGGACTGATGAACTGCAACACCCACTGAATGCCATTAAACAGCTTGGAAGAATTTTAGAAAAGTCATATACACCTAGGATGACTTGAGGGTGAGTAATTCATGGGCTAATTTTCATTTTTGGGTGAACTAACCCTTTAAATAAGAAATAAAACAGGAAGTCCCTGATAGATTCTGTTAAAATCACGTAGCACAAGTGAGGATGTCTCCTTAAGCTTTGACATTCCATCCAGTGCATTGGGCATCTCACAGAGAGGGTAATAATATTTCCCTCTCTAAGGACAGGTTTAATACTGTACAGGAGGTGCTCTTGTGACTTACATAACAGAGTTGCTATGGGGAGAATGCTTGCTTTAAAGCAACTAAATATACAAGTACAGTTATTTATATTTCCATGCTCCCATATATCTGTACAGTTGGAAACAGTACTGGAAAATGTCAATTGAAAATACAAAGAGCACAGTGAGATATCAAGACATCTGAACAAGCCCAACCCAAGAGTCAGCCTGGTGACAGACTAGTTAAACAGGTTAAAGGGGTCATATGATGCGATTTCAAGTTTTCCTTTCTCTTTGGAGTGTTACAAGCTGTTCATGAATAGATAAGATCCCTAAAGTTGCAAAGACTAAAGTCCCAAACCCAAAGAGACATTCTTTATAAAAGTTAAGACTTGCCCACGCCCTCCTAAAATGCCTCGTTTAAACACGCCTCCACATGTCTACGTCACTGTGTGGGAAGATTTGCATAACACAACCCAAATGTTCACGCAAAGGCATAACTTTGATTCTCGCTGTAGCATTGTTGCCACCGCCGCCGCCATGTCGTGGAGACGCTGTGTGTTTCATTATGAAAGCAAAACTACTTTGTTTGGCCTTCCAAAAGAGGACACAACTAGAAATCAGTGGTTAAGTTGTATCTACAACACATTTCCAGAACAGTCCAACCCAAATATATAGATGTGAGCAATGCATTTTACGGAGGACGAGGACTGTTTCCTGGGAGAGTATAGCCTACAATGCTGGTGTTCTGACAAATAATGCTGACTCACAGCCTATAAGTACGCTTTCATATTTAAAGGATTTGCCACTGATGATTCAAACACGCGTTTTGAGCAGTGTAGAGTAGCGCTTGTTGTTTGTTGTTTCTCCGATCACAAATGCAGACATGGTTTT